GGATTACCACTTATTTCGATCCCTGGACGACTCCCTTCGTGGTAAAACTTTTAATGATGACGACGCGCTGTAAAATCTCACTTAACTCAGTTTTTGGCCGAAAAGGATCAGACTTTCTACGAGCGTGGAATTTTCAAGTTGTCAGAGAGATGGCAAAAGGTCATCGAACAAAATGGAAAATACATTACGGATTAAACTTCGTTCCAAGTAAAAATAAATTTTTTATTTCATTGAACAAATCGGCAATTACTTAGTTGCCAACCCAATATTTTTCGAAGAAAGATTATAGTTTTAGGTGTTAAGCTTTTTTTTATTAAGTTTTGACTATTTTTAGATCTCCGGCATTTCACGAGCAGTCAAGAAAATGACCATTTTTAATCATTCGGACGATAATGTCTTAAGAGAGAAAAAATTCTCACAATACCCTGCAATAATTATATAATATTTTATTTGAACAGATTCTACACTGATAAAATGAATTCATATATTATATTATAAGATTAAAAGAGAGATCTATTTTCTCTTCCAAAATTAAAAGCAAAATATATTGTACATTATATACTATATATACAATATATAATATATGCAAAACATATTTACATTACATATTTTAAAACAAAACTATACTTGCTTTGCGAAATGCATCGGAGCTGCATAAGAACTCGTCACTGAATTAAATGTGATTAATATTCCAACAAGTTGAGTGCCGAAAATCAACCCCAAACAGTTCCCAGAAAATCCAAGTAATTCGTTCAATGAAACCGAAACAAGAAAGTTAAAACTTATCATGGAGTATAGCAATTTAACCCTTCAGCATCCTAAATATCCTAGCCAAGTTCGGTTCGTTCGAATACATGAGCCGTTTATTTCGAAAGTGGCCTAAGTCCATTTATACTTATATTGAGATATTTAAGGATTTGCGTTTCAATGCAATTAAAAATATACGAACGGGATACTAATGAGTCATACTGCTTAAATGTATCTAAATGAGTCTTTGAATTCATAATTTAAGTATTTATTTAAAATTTATAGTTCCCATTAAAATTATATATAAATATTATTAAGTGAATTATACGCGTTTTCTTACCAAGAATGTACTTGGGCCACTTTCAGAATAAACGGCTCATATTACAATAAAAATGAATTTTTCGAACCGGTCGGAACTTCGTGTCAGCCATAAGCGATGAAAAAAGTTGCACTAAACAAAATTAAACAGTAACAGTCAACGTATAAAACGCTGAAACGTTCGACTGCACAAGATGATCTCCATTCGATCTGAAACCCCGTCCTCGGGCCCAGATAGAACACCGTCAACCTTTTCGCGAACCGCTGTGCTTAGTTGTACCGATCACGTGGTCGATCCACCGATTGATTTCCTCATTTGCAAGCAATAAAGTCTCTGCTGAAGTGCATGGCCAGCGACTGGAACCGGCGGTTGAGTTCCAGCGACCGCAAGATCATGACGGACATCGCGAAGATCACGAGGAAGACGATCCTGACGAGCACCGTGGCGGTCAACATTATGGTGATCGCGTATGTCGTTCGGTATACGTTCATCGCGATGTACACGGATCGCAAGCTGTTCTTCCATGCCTACTTTCCGTACGACGTAAAGGCCAGCCCGAACATTCAGCTGACCGTCGCCGCCCAATTGATAGGCGGCATTTATGCTGCTGGCTGCTACACGGCGGTCGACACCTTCATCGCCATGCTGATCCTACACGTGTGCGGACAGCTGACTATACTGAAGCATGACATTATGAATCTCCGAGAGGACGGGGACGAAAAGCTGCGGGTCGTCCTGGGGAGGATCATTGAGAGGCATGAGTATATTAACGCGTCAGTATTAAGAAATCTACGGCTTCATTCTTATTGTCATACTTATGAGTCCAGAAAGAAGTGGATTAGGTTATCCATTTCTTTAACCTTTTAGGTACGGCTGAATTCTGCGCGAGACTATTTCTCTGGACGGCAGAGTCTGATACTGTATATTCTGTCTGTATATACAGGGTGTCCCAAAAATGTCTCGCAATCCGAAAGTGGCGGGTTCCTCGGGCCATTTGAAGCAACTTTTTCCTTTACAAAAATTTTCTCCGAGGCACCGTTAACGAGTTATTAACGAAAAACTGTGACCAATGAGAGGCGAGCTCGGCTGGCACGAGGCGATCGAGCCAATGAGCGGAACTGGGCTTCGCGCGCTGGTTGGCTGGGCCGCTTCGCGTCTGCCGTACTCGCTTCTTATTGGTCACTGTTTTTCGTTAATAACTAGTCAACGGTGCCTCGGAGAACATTTTTGTAAAGGAAGAAGTTGCTTCAAATGATCCGAGGAACCCGCTATTTCCGGATTGCGAGACATTTTTGGGACACCCTGTAGACTATTGTAAATCGATGCGAAGACAAAAGAAGTGTGAAACAATGCATATGAAGACGTTCTGAAAGATGATATCCGCGGAAGCCACTATAGCGGCACGTCGTGCCTAAAAGGTTAAAGAAACGCTAAAAACATTCAGTCGATTTCGTTCGACGCGACGGCGTTTTAACTGATATCTTTGAAAAATAAGAATAAAAAGAATTGCATACTTCAACATGAATAGCTTGGTAGGCTAGTACAGAGCTCGAAATTAACCGGCACGCAGCGTCCGGGCCGCGAGGGCTACGCCTCCTGGCTCCCGTCGCGCGTCTCGCTCCCTGTGGGAGCCACTTTCGACTCGCAGTGTGTAGGTGAGTAGTATATATGTGTGCGATCACCGGGGAGCGAGACGCGCGACGCGCGACGAAATCAGGAGGCGTAGCCCTCGCGATCCGGACGCTGCGTGCCGGTTAATTCCGAGCCCTGTTCTAGCCTACCAAGCTATTTATGTTGAAGTATATGCGATTCTTTTTATATCCAGGGTTTAAAGTC